ACTCCTCCACCGACGCTGACAAATCAGAGCGCAAGGAGCGTTCTGAAGGGGCGGAGCCCTCCGAGGGGGCAGAGAGATCAGAGAGGTCAGAGAAGTCTGAGCGTTCAGACCGATCAGATAAAATAGAAGCATCGGACAAAAGCTCAGAAAAGAGGGACACGTCCGAGAAGGAGAATGGAGATAGAGGTGGAAGAGGAGAGAGGGGAGAACGAGGGGAGAGAGAGAGGGGCTGGAGAGGAGACCGGGGTTCCAGGGGTTCCAGGGGTTCCAGCACTTCGGGAAAAAGCAAATGACTCATCCTTCTACACCTTTATTTACTCATCCATCACAAAATCTTTCCAGAGAGAAGACAGGACTTGTGTTTCTCTGTCTCTGTTGCTCTGTTTGTCCTGACAGCCTGATTTCAGGACAGACGTAATTGTCCCTTGAATGTGTCGATGTGTGTCTGTGTGCGTGTGCCAATGTGTTGAAGAGAACATCTGTGAAAGAACATGAAAAGAACAGTATATGAACGTATCCCAGCATCAGAAGGCCAGTTCAGCCGCCCTGCTTGACTCTCACAGAAAAGGCACTTTAGATTATTGAGGATGACTATAGCCCTCTTAATATTTTAGAAACGTTTTCTCGAAGCAATATACTGTACGTAGTAACCGATGCCGCTTGTTTTAGCTGCTCTGCACTTCCAAGCAAGTGTGCGAGAGAGAAAGTGACAGAAGTCTTTCAGAGAGAAATCTGGTGCGGTAGTAGGGACAGTGTTCCTCCTGATCGGCATCCATACACACGAACACGCACAGTGCATCATGGGAAAATGTTTGGTATGGAATACCATTCTCTCACCCGAGGCCACACAAGTCTTCCACTTGCTGCTTGTAGTAATGGTTTTAATCATGCGAGATGCTTCACAGTACTGTGGTGAGTGTGATTCAGTCTGAATTACACCCGATGAAGAGTCTCGATCACAATATGTGAATATAATGTGGCAGTGTGTGTGTGTATGTGTGTGTGAATACAGCACCGTCCAGAAGGAGATCAAATGTACTATGTATAACCTCATTGATCGTATTTATTAGGTTATCATGATACAATTTTAAAGTGCAAGGTTATTCTTCCCAGAACTAAGAGGAAGTACGATCAAACACCCCAGTATGTGTACAAATATGCTGCTTTTTATCATCTCTGCCCCCTTACATCACTCTTTGATTGTAAAATGATTAGTACACATAAAATAGGGTGTCTGTGACTTTGTCATGCTATAAAGAAAAAGACTGTATATATATATATTTGTATATATACTAGTAAACGAGATTTACTTCTATGAGCTGCAGCGTCTAATTACAAAAAAAAAATAAAATCATTTTTATCAACCTATGAAAATGTAACAAGTTAAACAGAGTTGTTTAAAGTGCCCCTGGCTGAATTTAGATGGTAAATATGTGCGTTAGCCTCCTTTTCCAGGATCTCTTGTATACGGAAATGCAACTTTTACTGTTTACGGTTTGTTTGTTTTGACCAGGGCAAAAGATCAGGATACTTGTAAAAAAAAAAAAACACCATTAAAACCCTCATCAGAGACTGTTTTGTGTTTAATATAAATGTTAAGAAAATGTCTCTTGACAGCTGTTGCAATTCCTATGACAAAGACAATGATTTTCCCCTTAAAATAGTTCAAATATATGGGTGCAAATTATATTTACACAGATATCATAAAAATAAAAGTATCAGAATAAAAAATAAATAAATTAGTGTTTTTAAGGTGTTTTTTCCACTTATTTGTAATGATGGTCCTAAGGCTTCAATTTAATCTGTAAATCACTTTGGTGAGGTCAAGCTTCTCCTATCTAGCTCAGACTTGTTCTTCTGACTGGCCTCATTGTCTATGCAACAGCAAATATCAGCATCATACTAAATCCAATTTCTGAAATGGAGATTAAACGGTGTGGAATAAAACACTCATTTACAGATTGTTCGTTTTCATGATACAGACACACTTGACCCCTGATCAGCTCCAGTAAAACATTGATCTGCGATTTAAAAGCTGAGCTGATTGTGTGTGCTTGCTTTCAAACAGTGAGTAGCTGTCACAACACAGAACACATACCTTATGACAACAGAAAACAGTCGCACACCCTGCAATCGGGCTTAGAGTCAAATCTGCTACTGATTGGATGTCTTTGATCATTGTCATAGAAACTGCATAATTAGAGACTAAACTTGTTTTGCACTGTGTATCTCTGTGTCTGATAAATGTGATTGAGGGTGAATGAATGTCTGTTACCAAATTGTTGCTGTGTATGTCTCTGTCTGACCTTTGCTGAAGCACCTCCAAACAACCAGTTTACCAAATCTCCCCTTCCAAAGCATAAAATAACAGATATGTTATGACTTGTTTTACTTACATTTTTGTCTCTTCTACGTATCCAACATTTGTTACAGAGTGACCTTAACTATGGTCTGCCTGCAAAAAGCACAATTTCTCCCTGAACATCAATCTGGAGTATTAGAGAAAAAAAAAACATGATCCCTGCATTTCTTAAAGCTGCCACATGAGGATAGTGTTGCAAAGGAATTGCAGTGCTAAAATAATTTTTATTTGAACTCTTCAATTTACCCTTTTTAAACCCAGAAATGTTGACCTATAGGGTCACTACAACCACATATTTGTCTGTGATTTTTAGACCACGTGGTCAGTTTTTGCTTTACAACCAGTTTACCAAATCTCCCCTTCCAAAGCATAAAATAACAGATATGTTATGACTTGTTTTACTTACATTTTTGTCTCTTCTACGTATCCAACATTTGTTACAGAGTGACCTTGACTATGGTCTGCCTGCAAAAAGCACAATTTCTCCCTGAACATCAATCTGGAGTATTAGAGAAAAAAAAACATGATCCCTGCATTTCTTAAAGCTGCCACATGAGGATAGTGTTGCAAAGGAATTGCAGTGCTAAAATAATTTTTATTTGAACTCTTCAATTTACCTTTTTTAAACCCAGAAATGTTGACCTACAGGGTCACTACAACCACATATTTGTCTGTGATTTTTAGACCACGTGGTCAGTTTTTGCTTTGAATGGTTTTTGTTCATTTATTTTAAATTGTTCTGGTTTAATCACGATCAGATTTTTTCTAGATCCTGCATTAAATTTATATTTTGACCTCACTATTCGGGGAACAGACACAGTCTTTATAGATTGGACAGCGCAAGTACTTCTATCATTTAAGCGGGTAGAACACAAGTCATCAGGGCAGTTATTTGAGATTTGACTTACTAGTCACATGGTACAGTCCACTTTTAAAATACCTTAAATAATAATAATAAAAACCCTTCACAGATAACGTCGACGTTTTTAAGAGACGTATTTAAAAGAAGACATGACTATGAAGTATAGGCCTGTAGATGTCTCTTCTAAAGAGAATACGTGTCCAAGTCACTTTTTAGAAGATTACCGGCTAACATTTAGCAACAATGTAACACCGCCTTCTATTTTAAAATCTCTACTGTCAAGAATTTGGATGTTTTTTATTTTCTTGCTTTAACTGAGGACTTTGGGCTTCTACAGACGTCTAATAGTTTTGTGTTCACTTTGAAGGCTTTCTGAAGTACTTCGGTGTTGTTTGGTTTTGACCGTTGATTAAGGGTTTGAGACGTCCACCTTCCAGAGATTTTAACAGTACAGACTTAAGACTTGCTCAGACTTAAGATGCGATTTAAATTTTTCCTTTCTCTTTGGAGTGTTACAAGCTCTTGGTGCGTAAAGAAGATCTGTAAAGTTGCAAAGACTAAAGTCTCAAATCCAAAGAGATATTCTTTTTAAAAGTTAAGAGTCAGCCTACCTAAAACGGCTTGTTCTAACACGCCCCCACATGTCTACATCCCTATGTATGTGCCTCGGCTCACTGTAGGCCGCTGTGTGTGTGTTATGCTGTGTTTCATTGTGAAAGCGAAATTACTTTGTTTGGCCTTCCAAAAATGGACATGATTAGAAATCAGGGGTTAAGTTGTATTTACAACACTGTTCCAGAACACTTCAACCCAAATATTCAGATGTGTGCAGCACATTTGATGGAGGCCCGTTTCCCGATCCTGGTAGAGTAGACTACAATGCCGGCTGTTCTGACTCACAGACTGTAAGTACGTTTTTTATATTTAAAGAGTTTTTATTTTTTATATATTTAAAGCGAGTTTTTTTTTTAGTGTAGAGTAGGGCTTGTTTGTCATTTCTCAGATCACAAATGCAGACATGGTTTTATGTTTACGCGGCGCGATGCAACGCAACACAACGCGTAAAAAGACAGTATAAGTCATTATAATCCGTAATTATGTCCCCACTGGATGCAACGAATGCCTCATTTATAATGGGTTTTCATGTTTTTGAATCATCGCTCCGGCCTGACAGGGCATCATCACAATATGGTGAGGGGCGTTACATTTCCGTCACACGCTTGAGGTATTCGGCCAATCACAACGCGCTGGATAGTTGGCCAATCAGAGCACACCTCGCTTTTTCAGACTGAAGAGCTTTGTAAAAATCGACGCATTTCAGAAAGGCGGGGCATAGAGGAGAAACAATAATGTACAGTATGTGGAAAATAATGTGTTTTTTGAACCTTAAACCGCATAAACACATTTCATTACACCAAATACACAAAATACTGTTCTTTTTAGCAGCATCATATGACCGCTTTAAAAAGTGCACTCAATATTTTCAAATGTTTTTTTATTATTTTGAGAAGACAGTGTATTATTTAAATTTTCTCTTTTATGATAAATTTACCAAATGCAAGTTCACCTAAGTTAACAAGCATCAACAAAAGCTGTAAAGTAACTCTACTGCTTTCCTCTCTGGAAAATAAAAAAGGAAATTAAAAGTGAAAAAGCATAAATTAACAAAAGGTAAAAATCAATTCTGAATACATTATTTGCAGGTAAGTCCAGAGTCACAATGCTCCATTGATGAGCAAAAAATAAAATGAGACATTTCAGTTTATACACCATATTTATTGATTTAATAATGTTTTATATCCCTTTGTCTTCAGGCAGAGGTGCTGAAACAGATATAATTCATCAGTAAACATGACAGCTAAAGAGTGGACAGTTACTTAAAATTATCATTCATATGACATAAATGATTTGCACACTTATTTAAACACAACATTAAACATTTGTCAAAAATCTTTGAATAAAAGAGAGTACAAAGAACAAATGAATTACATTTGTCTCTGTATAATACAGAAAATGAAGCATTGCTTTGTTTCTCCCAGCCTGACTTCACCAGCAAGTTTTTATATTTTATTTCATTTATGAAAAAAAAACAAGCCGTTATAGATGGAGAGTGTGCCTCCTTTATTTGAATTCAGTTCTTCCACACATGAAATTAAAGAAACACCATTAAGTTGCTCTGAAGAGAATAACCAGGTGATTTCTATACACTTAATAGCTAATAATCATTTGTTAAACAAATTACATTTGTGTCTGTGTAATACAGAAGATGAAACATTGCAGCAAGCAAAGGCAGACAGACTGACAGGCGTGTATTGACCCTCGTCATGTCAGGCTTTTCTGAGACCAAGATGACCACCAGCTTGAAAGAGTATTGTGGTGTAATTTGTCTGTTTCAAACAAGAAAGACTTTTAAGGTGCATTACAGAGCATGAGGACATGCAGCAGAGAAAACAGAAATTATAAATAAGCCTCCAATTTTTTCACATTAAAGCAGAAAATGTGTAATTTACTTGACATAAATAAAAATAATAAAAAAGTGGATTTAACCTACTTTCACGTGGACATATTTTGACACCTCTTTTACTCCCCTGTAAAGAATAATCACAACATGAGCACAATGAGCACATGACAATACCAAGCAAACAGTGATGTTTTTCAAATTATACATTTTGTCATATTTTGGAGCATCTTGTTAAATACCTGCTCTATTAGCCAGTTCAAAACTTTGATAGTGGAATCTGAATTCTTCTGACACTTCAGCAATCCTGTATCCTCATAGAACAGATAGTCCACTGTGAGTATGTCTGTCCTGTTGACAGATCTGCTGCTGTCTGGGACCACTTTCTCTGGGTCAAACGTGTGATGAAGCACCACTAGAACAGTTAGCTTAGAATCTGTTTAAGGACATAGACAAATGTATTTAAGATAATTTCATCTGAAATGCTTATACATGTATCACCTTGAGGCAGAGTATTCTGTAAATTAAAAACTTTTGAAATGTAATTAAAAATGTAAAATAGTGTGAAGATGATAATCAAACAACCTGTGGAATAATTGGATTTGTTCAGAGCTGCATCAATGTCAGTTCCAGCTCGAGAAACAATAGGACAGAAAACTAAAATAATGTCACTCTTGTCCACTGTTCCAACTTCACTCAGATTCTTGATTTGGTTTCTCAGCAGGGTGATAACACCCTTGTGACAGTTATTTGTCTTTCCAGCCAAAATGGAGAACACTTTGACCTCTTCTGGAAAAGGAATTGGGATTGAATAAATAAAACAGGGGAACATACAAATATGATCAGACTAAAATGAATGCAAGATAATAATACAGTTTTAAAAATGAATTTCATTTTCTAGGATGGTGTTATGGAAGATGAGTTATTCTGTTCTATAATAACTCTTGGCAAAGGTAAAAAATTTAGTGTGTGATTAAACAAGCAGCTATTGTGTGAGATCCTTCATAAGATACAGACCTGTACTAGGTTCATTGTTTCCCATTTTTTGCCTCTTCATCTTCACTTGCTGAGATCGGCCTTCATTCTACAGACACACAACTTATAGTGAAATTCAGTCACAGTATCTTTATAAACACTGTATTAGGTGTTTACCAGAGAAAAGAAAACAATTGTTTGACATTTTAAACGGCAATTTAAGCACAACAATATAAGATTTACCTTGCACACAAAATTTTCGCATTCTTGATTTTGGATTTGTCCAGGGTTTGTAAAATCTGTTGTGGTTAAATCAGTAGAAATTAACATAAAACAATCAGCAACATATAATTAATGTTACTTAAATTTGATATTTACTGAAGTGACTTTAAACAAATGATCTTGATACAGCAGTAGGTTTCTAGCAGACAATAAATTCTAGAAAGTGTGAAACATTGCAACGCTGTTTGTCGTCTCTAAATGCACTGCACAGACCTCATCTCCAAATTGTCGTAATTTTCACCACCCCCTTTCTTTCACTCAGAAGAGGGGTGAATTGTCTTCGACAAATGGATGCTCTAGTCTAGATAAATCTTACCTGAATCCCTGTCTAAGATCACTTAAATCAAAAGTAATCACAAAAAAGTTTCTATCATTCTATATGTCCTGCAGTCACTGAAACCTTGATCATAGCTGAGCTGCTCCATCCACTATCTTCATGAGAATATGTATGTTCAAGTGCAGATGAACTTTGGAATATACACAAATTCTTCATTCAAATGTATCCTGACAAACTATAAATGTGACACCCACCACTGTCCGGTGATTTCTGACTTGAACATCCCGGTTGTTGATTGCCCAGATGTAAGATTTGGTTTTCTGGTTTGGTTTCCTGTTCCTCCAGCATACAGGTACTGGTTTCCATCACTAAGAGATTTGTGCTCTCATGCATATGTCCGCTTGTTTCCTCCTGTTGTGTGTCTTTCTCCTCAGTCTCATTCTGGTTCTCCTCAACTTCTATGTTGCCCTGAAGATCTTCCTTTAGCGCATCTTTTTCTAGACAATAGAAAACTATACACACAATTCCTGATATGAAATCAAGTATTTTATATTCTTAATAAATATTCATATATATATATATACAAGTTAATCTCATTTAATTTATTCTGTACCGAATAAATCATGTGCTCTGTGTTCAAACTTTTATTTTAAGCTTTGTTTTACCAGAGGAGTCCAATAAGTTCCTTGTGTCTGTCCTGATCTTTGACACATGAAAAATATGAGTTCTAACAGAATTCACCTGCCAGTAAAGCAGAATTTGCCATTTTTATTCTCTCCTCATCAGTCCATGCTTTGTCGATCTGTTGAGAAGAACATTGAGAGAAGAATATTGTCCATCAACCTTCATGAAATTCCTGAAATATCCTATAAAATACTCAGTTCAGGCTGATGACACAATGGACAAGCAAGATTGTTTCACCATTTGACTAAATTCATTATTTTTATAATAATTTACTAAAATCTATAATTATGCTTAAAACCTGTAAAACAGTGTAAGAACAAAAACAGAACAAAATTGGACAGTAATAATGTTCCACCTATAGATAAAGAGTTTTCTTTCTCCAAAGGTTTTGTATTTAAAAATGCTATTTTTTTTTATTAATGACAAATGGAAACTTAATGGTAACTTAAATGGTTACTTAAATCTTATTGGAGCTGAGAGACCTACAAAATATATCTTCAGTTATTTACATTTGTTTCATAAATGTTAGAAAAAATTCACACTGTATTTAAAGTAAACTATATTTTTCTATTACCTGTTTAGTCCATAGTGTGGCTGTTTGTTGAGGCATTTCAGTATGATCTTCATCTGAATCACAGCAAAACCACAATAAAACAGTTAAAGCAATACAGCAATAAGAAAAAAATTATAGTTTAACCAGTTAAAATGAGAAACAGAGAAAATACTAATAATCAGGAAACTGTGGGAACGAAACTTAGCACTCAATACACATATTTTTGTAAGGCTGATATGATTGGATGGTTTACTTTGGTACTCTAAGAACTAAGAGTTTAAATTAGATCAATAGGTCTCATTTCTCAGTTTACTGATTACAATCTAAGTCTGATCAAACACTTAACAATACTCTGGATTTCAGTTAATTCTGACAAGAGGTAGAGTTTAGAACCGGTGTAGAATGAAGTTACAGTATATGAAACACTCACATTTTCTTACTGTTATCTCCTCTGTCCTGTCTCCACTGGTGACCTGACACAGGTAATCACCAGCATATGATTCTCTGACATCCTTCAGCTGTAAGGACACAATTCCTCTCTCCAGCTCGTCAATGCATAGACTCTTTATGCCTTCATAACCCTCCCCCTTTATCAACCGTTTGTTCTTATAGAAATACACACAGTCTGTTTCCTTAAACCATCTAATCTCCATATTGACAGCACTGATTTCAGGATATAGGTGACACTGAATGGTGGAATCTGATTGAGTTGCTTCAGACAAAACGATCCGAAACTCATCTGTATTGGAAAAAGAGAAAATGTGGACTTACACAAATGATTATTATCTTTTATAGCATATTAATGGCATTAAGTATGATGGAAATTACATTTTTAACAGAACTTACTATTGCTTTTAGCCTCCATTTTCTCTCCTATATAGGAACATAAGACACAAAATGACACAGCAGAATGATTCCAGATTGCCACTTCACTCTTATTCCATCACTAATGTAAACCTGTTATATTTGATTAAAAAGAATCGTTTAGCCTGTTTATATGTAGTCATTCATTAGCTGTCTATTTGATGTCTAGTCTATTTGTGGCAGGCGACATCTAGGGAGTAAAGTCGTGAATTAAGGGTGTGTGGTTAGCTATGTATAAAGATCAGCGGTAGGAACGAGAACGGTAGGTGAAGAGAAAAGCTTGCGATGATGTATTGGGTTAATCTTCAGGGTAGTAATAAGAGTCATCGTACACGCACAATTTTAAATGATTGTTGGGAATATAAAAACAGTAAGTATGGAAGTATGAACAGTGGGTCAATGATTGTGGTCTGGAGAATGAAGAAATCGGTCCCAACATGCCATTAAATGGGGTATTGAATATTTGATTAAAAAGAATCGTTTAGCCTGTTTATATGTAGTCATTCATTAGCTGTCTATTTGATGTCTAGTCTATTTGTGGCAGGCGACATCTAGGGAGTAAAGTCGTGAATTAAGGGTGTGTGGTTAGCTATGTATAAAGATCAGCGGTAGGAACGAGAACGGTAGGTGAAGAGAAAAGCTTGCGATGATGTATTGGGTTAATCTTCAGGGTAGTAATAAGAGTCATCGTACACGCACAATTTTAAATGATTGTTGGGAATATAAAAACAGTAAGTATGGAAGTATGAACAGTGGGTCAATAATTGTGGTCTGGAGAATGAAGAAATCGGTCCCAACATGCCATTAAATGGGGTATTGGTATGGAATATTCCTGAACCCATTGTTGAAATGAGATTGTTGGAGCCCCGGGAAAAAGCAGAAGAAAGATATACTAATAGTTATGAAATCAATGTTTTTATGAGAGAAATTTTTTATTATTTTATACAGATCTATACAGATGGATCTAAAGACCCAATCAAACAAAAAGTGGGCATAGGAGTGTACATTCCAAGATTTAAGACGAAAATAAGTTTAAGGTTAAGTGACAAATTGTCCGTATATTCTACAGAATTAACTGCTATAATAGTAGGATTGCAGTGGGTAGAACAGATTAAGCCAAATAGGACTCCGACTGTAATTTGCTCAGATTCTTCATCAGCTCTTAAAAGTATATTGTCGACAAAAACTGATAGAGAAGACCTGCTAGTAGAAATGTATACATTACTGTACAGACTGAAAATAGAGGGTATCACTCTTAAAAATAAAGGTGCTTCAAACGGTTCTTCAAGCGATGCCATAGAAGAACCATTTTTGGTTCCACAAAGAACCATTCAGTCAAAGGTTCTTTAAAGAACCATCTCTTTCTTACCTTTTTATAATCTGAAGAACCTTCTTTCGCCACAAAGAACCTTTTGTGAAACAGAAAGGTTCTTCAGATGTTAAAGGTTCTTTATGGAACCATTTAGACAAAAAGGTTCTTCTATGGCATCGTGAAGCACCTTTATTTTTAAGAGTGTATAATCGTATACTTTTGTTGGGTACTGGCACATACTGGGATAGTAGGGAATGAAACAGCGGATAAGTTAGCAAAAAGAAGCTTTAAAGAAAACCTTGGTGGATGTTAAGGTACCTCTGGGAAGGAATGAGATAAAATCAGTAATTAATAGGGAAATAATAAGAACATGGCAACAAAGATGGGAAAATAGCAGCACAGGTAGGTGGTATTATAATATTGTAAAATCAGTAGGGAAAAGGAAGAAGGGAAGAAGTAATGCTTTCTAGATTAAGGATGGGTCACACAGGACTAAATTCAACACTTGCATTAATGGGGAAGCTTGAAAATGGTATGTGTGATGAATGTGATGTTTTTGAAACAGTAGAGCATTTGCTCTTTAAATGTAGTAAATATGAAGATCAGCGTAACAGTCTTTTTAGCAATATAAGGAACAGACCAGTGAGTGTCGTGGACCTTCTGGGAAAGGGTTTGAGTGATAGATGTTTAAGGTGGTTTTAACGTTTTTAGAGCTTACAGAATTAGACCACAGGATTTAGTGTTTGAGGATGAAGAGGATCATGATGCTTCTGCCCATCTCGGAGGTTGAGGAGCACAGTGTGGAAGCTGGAGGAGCTGAACACGCAGCGCCAGCTGAAGCGTGGGCTCTGATCCTCTGGGGTAGGTGGGGCATTACACTTTTTTTTTCAGTATAGATTCATCACCCATATGCGCAAGATATACAGTAGGTGGCAGTAATACTCCTAAGGAGTGAATACTGAATGCACTTTTACTGTTTGTTTGCGAGGTGGATTTTTTTCTTGGATCTCGGAGATAGGTATGAGTATATTTGAAATCTTAAAAGTGTTTTAATATGTGGTGTGTGTTTTAATGCATGTATTTCAGCTCTATGAAGCCTATGTTTCATAGGCGAGGGGTTTGCATATGCCGTCTTTTGGATCTTTGACATTGTTTGGAGCACTAAAATGTTTTAATAGGTGGTGTTTGTCCTGATATAAATAATAAAAGTATTTTAATGTGTGTTTGAGCTCTACGGAGCCCATTAGTTGCTCTTGTTGTATTTGAGTTTCAGTTTATTAATTTTTTTGTTTGATTGTTTGGTTTTGGGTTTATTGTCTAGTCCGCCCGGGTAATTGAATCGGTAATTGGGCCGAAAGAAATGGGACTAGTTTCTTGTTTATTTATGTTTTGTTTGTCCCCCCCCCATTGTTTTATATATATATATATAATGATATTTCAGTTTTTCTTTTTTAATAAATCTGCAAAAATGTCAACAATTCTGTGTTTTTCTGTCAATATGGGGTGCTGTGTGTACATTAATGAGGAAAAAAAAATAACTTAAATGATTTTAGCAAATGGCTGCAATTTAACAAAGAGTGAAAAATGTAAGGGGATCTGAATACAAATGTAAGGGGGTCTGAATACTTTCTGTACCCACTGTGTATATATATATATATATATATATATATATATATATATATATATATATATATATATATATATATATACATACACACACTTTACAAGGATGATATACTTAGTGTTTAAGCAGAGTTGAGCTATTTTTGCATGTAATTTACTTTTGATGAGTTGGTTTATTTTTGTGTTATGAATTTATTTAATTGTTTATTTATTTACTTTTGGCTTTATTTGTATGGTTTGATGCTCAACTCTTGCTGGGTTAACTCATGTGTAAGGTGTCCTGGGTAATTAAAAAAAAAACTCTGTAAAGCCATCAATAAATCTTGGGGATTTATTTAAACGAACCTGATCATTGATGTTTAGTTAAAGGGGGGCCTTGTTACATATTCTTGGACTATGGTTAGACGTATATTAAATTCACTGACAGCCCAAATGTTGCCTTGTTTTAGAGACGTCAGGGCTGTGTTTGGACGACGTCTTTTAAACTCAAAATTGCTTAAGTTGTAGGCTAATTACGAGGTCTACGAGAACGTGAACGCTTTTTACAAGACTAAATATGATTAATTCCGAGTCCGACATGGTGTGAACTTGCATCGTTTCCAAAAATAACGTGAAGCTTTCACTTTCTGTTTTTTACGAGTTAGCAGAGGACGCTGTTGTCCCCTGTGCAGCCAATCAGGGATCATTCCTGGTGAGTCGCTGGTATCGTAATAACTCAGTCCGCACTAGTCATTCAGACAGGGTTTGTGAATCGGTGAAAAATACATAAGCTGTTGATAGACCGCATGAAACGTCACACATGCGGCAAGCGCGGTGTTCTTCCGGAAATATTTCGATTTAATCAAACATTACAAAAAACAAAAATACTATATTGTGATCTTTACAGTCAGTCTGACGGACGTATTTTAGAATCATCACAATTGTTGATGCAAGGTCAATGAAAACAAGTAGGCCTAAATGTTACCTTACAAACTTCGGTTAACTTGGGCTACATTTTGTTTATGGTTAGCATGTTATGAACTTTGCTTACCTTTTTTCTTCAAATCTGCAGCCTGCTGTTCAACTGAAATGGAAGAACTGAACAACCTGTCACACTGGTCAGATCAACACAGGAAAAATTCCTTTCACTTTCATTTTCTCTGGGACTGCAGTTAAACACCTCCCACATTTGGTTTCAATGGCAAACTCCCACATAGCTTCTGTTTATATCTAATAGAACAGCTTGTTTTATCCTGGGTGTTTCTGTTAGAGTGTATCAAGCACACACTCTAAAAACGTTTTTGTTTGTTTGTTTAAAGGTTCTCTGCATGCAGTAATAGTTATTTAGACCATCATCCTGAAAATCCTTTTTATGCTGAAATGGTGCTTTCTGTTAGACTTAAGGGTTTTCATTCCCACCTTTTTGTTTTTCAAATATGTAACTGTCAAAGTCACCTCATTATTGATTTTCAGGAGCTCAACCATTCAACTAAACAGACTGTCAATAAACTCTCAACAAGTAAATGATTACTTAAAGTCTATAAACTTTAACTTTCAAATTGTAACTGGTTTCCTACAATCGTGTGTTTCGCTTTTGTTTATCAGAACATGTGAATGAGTCCAGCTCTGTTCAGTCTGATACTTGCAGCTCGCTTCTCTGAAAGTATCAGACATATTGAATTTATGATCCATATTGTTAGATATTTTATTATTATTACTTGGGTTTGTGCAAAAACATGCCCAGTGTCAAAAACAATTTAAATTCCAAGTAAATTTTTTCCTTTTAACAAGGGCTCACATTCTGTCAATTTTTGCTAATTTTTGGACTTTATAAACTTGGATACACTGTAACTTTGTATTTCAGATGCTGTCACATCCCACAACCTCATCATCTGGAGAGAAACGTCACTCAATTACACCAAAATGATGGACTTAAAGGCATCAGTGATTTTGAAAATACAGTAGGCTATTTCACTGGAACTTGGTCTTCGTTACATCCATCATAGGTTTCTATTTAGTTTTTTACTACTTTGTGGCTATTCATGATCATTATCAGTTGTCATTTAGAGCACTTTCATTTTGCTACAATTTCACGTCAATAAAAATAAAAAAGTATCTAACTGAAACAACATGTTGTTATTGCTGTTGTTTTTCAAGTAAAATACTAATAGAGGGGTAAACAATTGTAATCAATTATATACATGTTGTTTATATATATATATATATATATATATATATATATATATTATATATTACATACAACAGTTCGTTCTGGTTCTCAAATCTGATTGGTTGAGAACCATGACATATTGTACTGGTATCGCTACGGGAACGCCCTTTCACAATTTTGTATCACTCCGCTTGTTCTAGCCGGGTCTATGTTTTAATTATTCACTGAGCTAATCGTAGAGTACGTTAGTTAATATAAGAAGAAACGTGCCCTTGATATGAATTCTAAAAGTGACGCATGTTTAACTGTCAACTTGAGCTTTGAATCCTTGGCAGAAGGAAGTAGTTCCGCACAAAAGAGGGTTTTATTAGGCACTCCGTTGTTTCTTGTTTAATTACACACATGTTTCATCGAACTGTTGTATAAACGCAATATCACTCTCGTTCTCGAGCGATACCGGCTCTATATCAGCGGCTGTGATTGCCTGCGGCCTCGTGCCTCTGGCCTAATCACAGCCGCTGATATAGAGCCGGTATCGCTCGAGTACGAGAGTGATATTGCTCATATAATAATACTATGATATAGCCTAACTATACTAATATACTATTAATAGTGAAAATAAACTATTAAAGTTATGTATAGCATTAAGGTCTATAGCACTTTCAGAGCATGGTTCTTTATGGAACCTTATAAAAAGGTATTGTCCCAAAGGGTACTGTTTTCAAAAGTAAACTAAACAACTGCTGGTCAATCTGTGAGAGACTGGAATTTATTATGCCTGCTGTTATAGTCCCAATTGGTCTAGGTGAGGATCGCAACAGAAATATATGGTTGGTGGTAAGTGAATATGCAACAGCAGAGAAAACCCCATCTCCAGGCCCAGAATGGCTACAATCCAAACAACCACGTGAATTTCCGCAAAAGACAGTAGTTTTCATTTACATAAATCAACAAAAGATTAACGAAAGGGTTTCAGCTTCAGAAGGGGGCAAGGCCAAAATAACAAATATAATAAAAACAAACTCCTTTATAACAAACTAACTACTTAGGGTGACCATACATGCCATTTTTACGGGATAAGTCCTAGCCAGGATTTCTATATTTGGCTTTGTTTTCCTGTTTTCATACTTGCTGAAGGTAAGGATCGAAAAGTAGCTTGATCAATAACATGCAGGCTTTGTACATATTCGACCAATCGTGGCGTGTGAGAAGGTGGGATCTATAGAGAACGGTCAAGGCGATGCACATATATGTTCAGGTTAGATGTGTTCAGTGTGGGTTCCCGCCCAATTGGGCTTCTTTTGGTAACGTCAGACTGGAAAAAAATGCGTTGGGCGATTTGATAAAATTTGGGCTGCGTTTTTGATACAACTGATGGGTGTTTCAGTTTCCGCACTTGTAACGCAGGAAATTCCCGATTATTTTTTTCAGCATGAAAGTCACTCGTGACAGATGACGGAATGATTATTATGATTATTGCGCGTAAACAGCCAAATACATGCAAAATTATGTCAAAATGCCCGTCTTGATGAGTATTCACGTAAACAGTCGATTTATTGTCAGAATCCTGCCCTCACGGTCTTGTCAGTGTTGTCTTTGTTTCATGTTTCTTTGTTTGTGTTGTGTCTGAGCACATGGCTCTTTCTTTGTTGCTTGCCAAGTGCTTCTCTCGTCCTGCCTCCTCATTTCCCGTTACCACGCCCACTTGTTTAGTCTTGTCACCTGTTCCTCATGTTCTCTGCTCCTTTATATTGTTCTCCCTTTCCCTCTTGTTTTGCCAGTTTATTATTCTTACATTTCTGTGTTGCTAGTTTGTCTGACTATTCTTAGAGTGATACTGAGGATTCCCTGCCATATTGTTTGTAGTGTATTAGTCTATTGTCAGTCTATAGTCTAGTCTAGTCTTGTCCTGTCCTGCAGGCTGAGCCCCTGGTCTGCTCCCTTTATCTGCCATGCAGCTACATCTGCGCAGTGCCTGTGAGACCACGAGTGTGGTGTGGCTGAGCCTTGTGTTCCTGTCAGGCCACCGCTGCTACCTCCAGCTGCTCTGCCTTCACTCCTCACTGGCTGACTGCCATCCTAGACTGGACTCTGTGGTCATTCTCTCAGCCTGCCTGTCTTCAAGTCCTTCCCTGCCTATCGTTTGGACCGTTCTCTCACCTCACCTTCCCTTGTCTTGTCAGCAAATTTGTCTAATAAATCTGTTAACACTCACTCTGCATTTGAGTCCTCCCTACAGATCCCTGATATTTATACTAAACATTGTTGGTTATAGGCTATTAAGTGAATGTAAACAGTTGAGAAACAAAACTTAATTGTAACAGATCCATGTATGAGGTCTTAAAGAGACCGCAACCTAAATAAACCTGCTGCTGTCTGTCACTGTTTATTTATACATTAAAGACTAACCAGTGTTATTTTGAAGTTAAATTGATTATTCAGTTTCTGTGGCATTTCTGTACCTGAATATTACTGTTATACCTACCTGTAAAAACTTAAAGCACAGTTCATTTTATTTGTATCTTGTTGTATTTGTTTGTGCCATTGCTTGTCATTTATCTATTCTTATTTTATTACTGACCGTTTGAAAATTAATTCAGTTCAGAGTTTGAAATCAAAGTTAAGTATCTTCCTCGCAATGTAAATATGAATCAACATTATAAATTGAAAAACACAAATACACTGGGTGACAACATATAGGTTGGATGATTGTAGTTTAAAAATAGGTCTAAAAAATACCCTAACTCCCCCCTCAAATTAACAAATGCCCCCATAAGAACAACCTGAAGGGGAAATCCCCATCCCCCCTCCACCCTCCCCCCCATTTTCCAAAATGAAATTCAGGCCCTATATATATCTATTAGTCCAGGTGATATGTGAAAGTAATGTTCACTTTTTCATAAAAGCATGAAACATGAAACCATTTTACTTTCCGCCATAACCAAATTATGTATTTGGTGTCATATCTCCTGAACCAAACGTGATAACACCGAAAGATGTCTACCCCTATGTTTTGATGGTGAAGGATTACAATAATACCATATACAAAAACATAAACTGTTCAGGTGAAGAGTTAATGGTGAAATCAGCAATATGAAAAGGAAATAACAGTATCTGAGCATCACAAGTCCATGTTATGGCTATTATTTTTTTCTTTCTTTGATAACTAATATTTTCTTCAATAATACATTAAAAGGTTGTTTTCAAGAATACTATCATATATTTCAGAGATATTAAAAAAAATTATCTCAGGTAAGTGTATTTTTCCTTACCTTTCAGGCAGAGTCGGGTAGGCGGTAGTGTGTTTCCAATACATTCTTGCTCTCTCTCAACAATGCTCTAACATCACACACAGACAGCAACACAATCAGGTGAACAGTTAATGGTTATTTCAGTGACTTTATGAGAAGGATTACAATGAAATCTCAGAAGATGCAGAATGAAATTTCAAACATATTTCATGTAAACTTAAATCACTCTCTGGGGCCAGGGTTGTCTGTTATGTTGTCCACAAGGGGGAAGCCAGAGTGCTGCATGTGGGCGGGTACACACAGGTGAACCGCTAATATTTGATGTAACGGGGTGGAATAATATATATGTGTAGGGTGTGGTGCGGGCCGGACTTTGACAAGCACGGACAGGTTGCGGGTCCAATAACCAAGACTATTTCGACTCTGTCCAGTACTCGCTGAGCAATGTAGGCAATCACGCTGCCACTGATTGACAGCTGTAGTGATTATATTATAGGTAGTGCTCTTTGCTTGCTTTCTGTATTTAATCTATTCACAATTTGAATAAAAGTTTTAATAAATGAGTTTTGTCTACCTCATGTAGGGGATTTAATGCAGGTGCAGTTCGGGTTCCAAGTTGTTATGTCAAATGTGTCGGGTATGGGATTAAATGCTGTCAGATAACGTGTCAGGTGTTCTGTTAATTACGGCGATTGTGGGAAGATCATTTC